GAGTGGTATTCTATGTTTAGACGAACTAAAGGAAAGAATTGACGCAGCAGTGTAGTGGCTACGTCATTTGAGGACAGAAATATGAATACCCCAAGCCGCGAGGTGGTAAAAACAGGTGTTTGTCTGCACAGCTCAAGAAGATAGGTGTTTGTCTGTGCGGCCCAAGAAGATAGCTGCTTGTTTGCACTGCTCAAGAAGTTAGCTGCTTGTACGTAGGAGATGTCGAAACATGGAAGAAGGGCGCCCTAGCCCTAGAGTCCCTTCTCTCATGGTCGAAATGAAAAAAGTTCCGCCCAGGAATGGATCGTGAAAGCATATGCAGCTGATACAAATTTGTATTCCTGTCCTGTATGATATTTAGTTAGGTTTTTGGGTAGTTCACGGAACGAATTAAATCGACAATTTTTTGCACCAATTCATAAATCCCTAGTTATATTTAACTAGGTGGATGTACGCAAGACCACGTCTCGCGTGACAGGCTTCGCGATATCTCACGACACACTGTTTACGCTGCGACGCGCCTGGCATACATCTACCTAGGCCTGCGCTGACACCAGAGTCGGGCAAAAGGATGGGTCGTAATTAGGCCTTTGACCTCGAAAGTCACAAATTTTGCTCCTCAGGGTTTTATTCTGACGTTACCCGACGGTACACCATCAAAGCTCTGAAAAAAAAAAAATGTTTTGTGGTCATTTTCGTGTGGAAACCGCCCTCTGGCGCCTAAACGGTTAGGGATAGAGCCAAACACACAAAATTTTGTTTCAGACATTGACGTATCGACCCGTAGCGCTTGCGATCTGTAGCGCTAGCGAGCGACTATGAGCCGCAGGTCACTCTAGCGCTAACAAGCCACTCCGAACTGTCGAAAAATTGTCATATCCCGCGGACAATTGTGGCGGTCAGCCAATGAGTGCGCAGAGGGAAACAGATCAAGCAGTCGTCCTTTTATCTGTAGGTTCCGGTTGTCTTGCAGCGGAGTACCATGTATTGATCGTATTGTAGTGTAATGGCCAATTATAAATATTGAGAACTGTAAATTCGTCTGAGTCCTGTCCATGGTCCAGTCAAGAGTCAGTCACACACTATTATCACTCGCCATCTATCGGCAGACCCCCCAACTACGTCGCCACCCAATACGTTCTTCTTTAAGTTCTTCTTGAACCTTTACGTTCTTCTTTAAGTTCTGCCTTCCATTGCCCTATAAAAGCAGGCGCCAGCTTTGACTCGGCGCCACACTGTGACCAGCGCTTGATGTGAATACATCGCTCTTAAAAGACTCTGGACTTTCATTCCAAACACCCCTCTACCCGTTACAGTATGATCGTTAATCCATGGGGATCAAAAAATTTTACCTTTGGGGCCGAAGGCCTATTTACGACCTTTGCTTGTGCCCGACACAAGTGTCAGTGCCGCAGGCCTATGCAGATGAATGCCAGGCGCGTCGCAGCGTAACACTTTTTCGTGTGACATTGCGAAGCCTGTTACGGGAAACGTGGTCTGGCGTACATTTACTGATTTTAAAGTAGCACCCCTTGGGACGTATCTTATTTGGAGCTAAATCAAACCATTGCGTTCAAAATTTTAACAAATTTGAGAAATACAAATCTTAAGAAACTTTCAAACGGCCCGTTTGCTGATAATGACCCAAATGCTTGTTTGAAAATGAGTACACGACAGATGCAGTGCGGATGCTTCCAGGGACCTTTCCGCATCATTCCTGGGCTTATCGAGCGCTGCCCTCCTGAGCTAGAAGCAAAGCACCCTGTCGACTTCCACTATGGACGTGTCCGAAGCCGCATTAAACAAGACGTATGGTTTTACTCTGGCAACGTGACGTGGCCCTTTCACTTCGACGACACCTTATCGGTACGTTTTAAGTTGGAGTGTTTCGATGGGACCGTTACCTTGCCTGGGACGCAGGGATTTTGCTGATTCCAACCGGAGCCGGACGGTGGCCCCGCTAGGGGGGGTCAAGTGCCTGAAATTCAGCGTGGGGGCCCCAGTGCCATGCGGGTTTCCTACCCTACCTCGTAGTGGCAACAGCAACAGTCAGCTAAATGGCATTTAGACACTGTGCCTTTGGTTGAAGTGGTTGCAACGC